TTGTGGGGTAGCCGCCTGTGCTGCAGGCCCCCAGGTCCCCGCACATCCTCTGGGTCTGCTCCCTGAGGGCCGCCCGGCTAGCTGGTGACTGTGTGTGTCCTGGGTCTGTGCATGCGGGTGCACATGCGTGTGCCTGGGCGTCCCAGGCTGGAGGAGAGCCTGGCCCTGGCACCTGATGGACAGCAGGCTGTGTAGCGGTCACCTGTGCTGTGGCTCCTGGGGGCGGCCGCTCTTGCACTTGGCTTCCTGGGGAGGGGATCGGGCCCTGGCACTAACTCTGGAGTTTCCCACTCACTCCTGCCCTGGGTGCCCCTGGGGGCCTGGCACAGCCACATAGTGGCCATCTGTGGTGGGGGCACTGTGTCTCCTCTTGGTGACCGGTGGGGGGCTGCCGGCTGCAGAAGGCTCAGCACCTGGATTGGCTCTGCACCCCCTCAGGGGTCTGGCACAGTGTGTCCTGATTCCCTTACCCTCCCTTCTGGTCAAGGCGAGCCCCCTTCCCCAGGCCACTCAGCTTCTCCAGGAGGACATGGGGCCTGGCCACCCGCACCCCATGGCCAGGTCCCTGACCAGGCCAGAGAATTCCTCCAGCTGGAAACTCGGGGCCATGCAGGGCCCCCCAGTTCCCAGGCATCCTCGCTCCACTCTGGCCCCGTTTGGCTGCCAGGCCACTCTTGGTCCAGCCCCTCCATGCGGGGAACTTAGGGTTGGCCGGTCAGGGCTAGGGTTGAGGGGACCACACAGCCGGCCCCTCAGCGGTCAGCTCCACCTGCCTCTCCCTCCCTGGCGCACCGTGGCTTGGTCTGTCCCCACGGACGCCCCACCCTGCCGTGTTGTCAACCAGCATCTGCCCCTGCTGTGGTGGACGCTCCTTCCTCAGGAAGCCCCCGTTGTCCCCACTGGGTCAGGAGTCCTGTCCGACCTGGGCCAGCATTGCCCCGGGCTCTGTAGAGGGGCGGACACCACTGGCTTGGGCTACAGAGGCATCCTGGGAGGTGCAGGTACACTGGAAAGTAAGAGGAGGCCGTTTCCTGGTCCCAGCTCATGTCTGCTGGCGACAGAGGGATCATGACGCTGCACGTGTGTCTGTGCCTGGGCGCCTCTCCTTACGCTGAGGGCTGTGTTCTGGGGAGCACCCCCTCCTTGCTCCGTGTGGGAGCCAGGCCCCATGGGGAGGAGCTGCCGTGGCCTCAGGAGGGAAGCTGGGCAGCCCTGGCCATGAATCCTCTGTACCTGCCCTGGCTGGCCACCACCCCCCTGCCATTCTCCCTACGAATGCCCACCGAGTGTCTGCTGTATGCCAGGCCTCGGGACACCGCGAGCACGGGAGAGGGGCTTGGGTGTGGGTTTGGACCATGTGGCCAGGACGGGCCATTCCAGAAGAGATACTGGAGACCCTGAGGAGCTGCGGGGTGAGGGGCGTCGGAGAGGGCACTCCAGGCGAGGCAGGTGTGGGGAGCTGATCTGAGGGCCTGTGAAGACGGGGAGGGGCAGGCCGCAGGAGGTCCTGCCTCTGTCCCTCCAGACTGCAGCTTCCTCCCCTCCATCCCAGGGCCTGCCCACCTCCACCCTTCCTGGGCCCTGGGAAAGAGGAGTCTCTGTGTCTGGGGATAGTGTGTGTGTGACAAAGCGTGTGGGCAGGGCGGCCTCTCTGGGCCTTGCTGCTGTGGGAAGCCCCTGTTCCTCCTCCATCCCCAGTTGTGTTTTTTACAGCTGGGCAGGGGTGGCGGGGTGGGAGGGGTTGGCGGCATCCCCCTTCTTGGCCCACCGCCTCCGAGTCGAGTCCTCTATACCTGACAGCAGTGAGGCCCTGTCTCAGACTCAGTTTACCCTCATGTCTGGCTCCCACGTGGCCCTTGGTGTCCTGCCTGTGCTGGGGGCCTCTTGACTGTGGCTAAGTGTGTGCAGGGCAGGGGCTGTTCTGGAGGAGGAGGCTGGGGGGCATCTTGGCAGGGTGCAAACCCTGGAGGTGGCACGGCGCCGCTGTCATGCCCAGCAGAGCCCCGGTGCTGGCTCCCTGTATTCTTCCTGGCTGCGGTGCGAGGCGGCCACAGTCTCCCACCACGTACCTATGCCCTCAGGTCCTACCTCAGTTTCCCCATAGGCTGCGTGGGTTGGACGCCCGTCCAGATGGTGTGGGCTTGCCTAAACATAAAGCCCAGGCCGCTGTCCTGGCACACTCATTTCCCAGGAATCTGGGGGGCTGGGCTTCCTCCTGGTCAGGCCCTCCTGCGGGGGTCTTGGGCCTGCAACAGCAGGGTGTCCAGGGAGCCCAGGTGGGGGTGGGATGGGCCTGGCGAGGGGGATGGAGGGAGGCTGTTTGCTTTAGGATAAGGCTGGCTCCTCTGGCCTGGCTGCCTCCAGCCGTGCCTACAGCACTTGCAGGCCGGCCTCGGGGGCCACGCTTCCGGCCAGACGGTCATTTGGCTCTGCCCCCTTTCTCAGCAGTGACCATGGGTGGGGGTCCCGCCTCCCTGTCTGTGCCTGTCATCCCGCACCTCCCGCATGCCTGTGGGGGCCTTTACCTCCCCAAGCCTTGCTTGTGTCTGCCTGGGGCAGGGTAGGGGCTGGGGCCAGAGGTAGCCCCTTCCTGAAGTGCAGCTGGGGCTTTCAGCCTCTGAGGCGGGCTCCCTCCCGAGATGGGGGGGCTGGGTCCGTGTGCCCCCACCCAGGACAGGGCCGGGCACTTGCTCTCTTGCTCCTTCTGGGCAGTTGTGTGGGTGGGCACTCACGTGCATACATGAACATGCTTGCACATGTGAGACCTGCGCCCAGGTAGCCCCTCAGGAGGCCCAGGTACCCCTGCAGGCTGTGGGCCACAGGGACTGGGCTGGGCAGGGGCCTTGGCCACTCCCTCTTGATCCCGGAGGCCCTGTGGGTGGTGGGAGTTCGGGCAGTGACAGGTGCTGGTGGGGTCAACCTGGGGTGGGTCTGGGACCTGGGCAGGCTGGGAAGGGGTCAGGAGGCCCCTGTGCTGTGGGCCCTGCAGCCCCTTCCTCCCCGGGACACGTTTGCCAGAGCTGCCCCCAGCCCTGGGCAGCTTACAGAACCACACTGAGGGGGAGGTGGGCTGGCAGCCCCCACAGCCGCCATCTCATTTCCTCTCCGGGGGTTACAGGGAGGGTAGGGAAGGAGGGGCTTCAGGGCTGGGGCCCATGGCCAGGGTGGGAGGGTCCTGAGTTGAGGGAGAGATACAGGTCAGAGGAGAGACCCCCACATGTTTTCTCAGAGAGGCCAGGGACTGGTGTGGGCCGGGTGGGCCAGGGCTGGGAAGAATCCCTCCCTCCAGAGCCTCAGCCCACCCTTTGTGTTTCTGGTCACAGTGGGGAGGCTCCATGTCTCCAGGCCCAGCCCCAGCAGCCGATGATGCCTGTGGGATCAGAACCCGGAGGCCCTGGGCCGCGCCCCCTGTGCTATCAGCGCTGATTAGGCTTCCAGAGAGGTGATAGGGATTCTCTGTGGGGGTCCCTGTCCCCAGACCTGGGGGGTGAGATTGGGAGCTGCTACCTGTCTGAAGACGCCGGTGGGAGACGTCACGGGGCCACTGTTAATTGCGTGTTGGAGAAACACGCGGCCCCAGGCACTGTCGAGATGGCTTGGAGCAGCTGCTGCCTCTTGGTGTCTCTGCACCCAGCTTGGACACTCCCAGACAGCAGTGGCTGCAGTTCCGGAGGGACACTGTCACCCATGGGCTGGCCAGAGGTGCCCTGGGAACCGTGGGGTGCCTGTGGCCACCTCTCAGATGCAGAGAGCAGTGAGTGGGCTGCGGTTGCCGCTGCAGGACTTGGGAGCAGCACGTGGGGAGTGGGGCACGCAGGGCCCTCCTCTCCCAGGAGCTCCATCCGGGTGCAGGCCCTGCGGTGCTCTGAGTTTCTGAGGCCTACAGGGTCTGTGTGTTCCAGGCTCATCTTCCCGGCTGGCTAGGCACTGCCCACTGGGGCCGGTCACACACAAACAGGGCCCTGGCCCTGCCTTCCAGCTCAGAAGCACCCAGGCAGGGGACGGGGTGGGGTGGGGACCCGGGCAGGGGACAGGGTGGGTTTCTTTCTGCCAGGAAAGGAGGACTTGGCTTCTCCACGTGGGGTGGGACAGAGTGAGTGGCCATGTGGAGCTGCAGCCTGTCTGCTCCTGTGGGTTTCACAGGCAGTGGGGGGACATACTGGCTGCCAGGTACAGCCTCGGGGCTGCCAGCCAGACAGGATCCAGCAGTGCCCATGGCCAGCCCCAGCTACTGTCGCTCCAGAGGCTTGCCCTCTGACTCCGGGGCCTTGGGGTCATGCCCCCTCAAGGCTAAGGTGCCTGGCAGGGTAGGGCCCTTGGGGTGGGCAGACAGACCTGGGCATCTGTGGTCCCTGAACTCAGGTCTGATACTGACAGAGACGTAGGTGCCGCACAAACTCTCATCCACACAGTGCCCGTGCGCAGGCGGTCTGCTGTGCCTGATTGCGTGTGGATAGCTGTGGGGTCGCTGGCCTGTGTCCAGGCCCGGCTGGGCCCTGGGCTGATGGTTGGGTGGGAGTTGGGTGAGGGGCCTGGAGCCTCTTTGGGACCCACCAGGGCCCCCATCCCCCTGCCGCCCTTGTCCTTGGGGGGCCGCTGTCCCCTCTGACCTAGGGTGTACAGCTGCTTCCTGTGTGACCAGGAGGAGCCCCTGCCCTCTTGGCAGGTGGGTTTTGAGGGCTACCAAGCACAGCTGTTTTGCATCCTCTGGGGACCCTACTCCCCTCTCACGTCTCAAAGAGCCGGCCTCTGGGACCACAGAGCCGCCCCGGCCGTGAGAAGCTGCTGACGTGGTATTCAGTGGGCCAGCACTCAGGAGCTTTGGTGCATGTAGGCAGCTGAGGCCTGGGTCGGGGGCACTGCGCTTGGGCCCCTCTGCTCACCTTGGGCAGGCGACCCAGGTGGAGCTCAGGCCTGAGGTCTGTGCTGGGCCGTGGGTCCCCTTTCGATCCCCCTTGGCTCTGGACCCCAAGCCCCTCCTCGTTGACTGTTCCTTGGACCCACCCGCAGGCCCCCCCAGGATGGCGGACAAGGTGGTCCCACGGCAGGTGGCCCGGCTGGGCCGCACCGTGCGGCTGCAGTGCCCTGTGGAGGGGGATCCACCACCATTGACCATGTGGACCAAGGACGGCCGCACCATCCACAGCGGCTGGAGCCGCTTCCGCGTGCTCCCCCAGGGGCTGAAGGTGAAGCAGGTGGAGCGGGAGGATGCCGGCGTGTACGTGTGCAAGGCCACCAACGGCTTTGGCAGCCTGAGCGTCAACTACACCCTTGTCGTGCTGGGTTAGTCGCTGCTGCGGTCAGAGGTCATGGGCTGGGTTGGAGCCAGGCAGGGGCAGGCAGGAGGGCGGACGGGGACACACCTGGGGCCTGAGAGTCAGCCAGCCCCGGGCAGAAAGCCTTCCTTCGGCGCCCTGCCCTCCCTCTGCTGACTGCACCTCTGCCACCATCCCCCAGGCTGGGCTCCGTTCCTGTCCCCATCAGGCTCCAGCCTCTGGGCCTTCCTCCGGGCGGAGGGCGGCGGGCAGCGGGCGGAGGGCAACGGCCGGGAGCCGCAGGCCGTGGTCCCACGGAAGGGCTGGGGCCCGAGGCCTTGGCAGGGTGTGCCGGCCGTCGGCTGTGACTTTGAGGCTCAGGTTTCGGAGTTCAGAGGAGCCGCGGGGATGCCTGGCCTTTCTGTTCTCTTCTGCGCCTGGGGCCTGGGTGCGGGGCTTGGACAGGTGTCCAGAGACACGCCCTCCATACCTAGGGACCGGGCACCCCGCCTGCTCTGCCGGGCTCCTGGGTGTGGGGCCCTCCGGTGGAGCTCCTGGAGCTGGGCTGGCCCGTTTCTGAACGCAGGAGGCTGGCCCAGGCCCCGGCAGGGTCTGGGGGTGCGGCCTGAGACAGCCTGGTCCTGGGCTCAGTGGAGGAGCGGCTGTCACAGGGTGGATGGAGGGGACATTCCACAGCACGCCCTGCTCCTCCAGATTGTGTGGAATGGGAAAACTGTGGCTGTCCCCCCACCCCCACCCCACAGTCCTTTCAAAGGCGACGATGACCGGGAGGTATGAGAGTCTCGTCTGCTCACCAGCCCTCGGCCCCTTGATGTAGGCTAGGGTTACTGCAGCTGCTGGCCGGCCCGGCTCCCTCCTCCCCGGGGCCTGCAGACCCCCCGGAGCCAGAGTGGGGGCCAGCCCTCCAGCCCCACCCGTACCCGTCAGGATCACCTGCGCCTAGTGTGGGCCAGCGGCCCTTGCCCAGCTGTCCCTGGGATTCTGGGCTGTGGGTGTGTGGTGCAGCCCCCTGCCTGGGTGTCCAGGACTGTCCTGGCTGGGGCTGAGGGCACTAGAGGCCATGGGAGAGTTGGGGGTGCTCCTCAGGGCCCCCCTCACCTGCCCTCCCTGTGCACCTCCATTTCTCTGCAGATGACATTAGCCCAGGGAAGGAGAGCCTGGGCCCCGACAGCTCCTCTGGGGGTCAAGAGGACCCCGCCAGCCAGCAGTGGGGTGAGCAGGGGACCGCCGTCTGCCAGGGTGGGGGGTGTCTGTCCTGGCCCCTCGGCCGCTTCCCCATCCTCTGACCTCCATGCCGCCCCACCGCACAGCACGACCACGCTTCACACAGCCCTCCAAGATGAGGCGCCGGGTGATTGCACGGCCTGTGGGCAGCTCCGTGCGGCTCAAGTGCGTGGCCAGTGGGCACCCTCGGCCCGACATCACGTGGATGAAGGACGACCAGGCCTTGACGCGCCCAGAGGCCGCCGAGCCCAGGAAGAAGAAGTGGACGCTGAGCCTGAAGAACCTGCGGCCGGAGGACAGCGGCAAATACACCTGCCGTGTGTCGAACCGCGCGGGCGCCATCAACGCCACCTACAAGGTGGATGTGATCCGTGAGTGTGGCCTGGGGCACTGGCGGGCCGGGGGTGCTGGTGGGGTCTGGGGGCTGGCGGGCCAGGGGCTGGTGGACCGGGGGTGCTGGTGGGGTCTAGGGACTGGTGATCTGGGAGCT